TATATATTGTTGTTGTTTAGTTGTTCGAGGTCCGCCATCTTCTAGGCCGTCTCAAGTCTCTTTATTTGTGCAGGGAGGAGCTAGCACTAGGAGCTAGCAGCAAGCTTTAAGCACCTACGAGCTAGGATGGTTGAGAGCTTCCTGTACGGAAGAGTTTTTCAGCTTGAGGCCATGACGTTGAAATACCCGCCCTCTACATCTGGCTCATTTGAACGAGATGGAGGAGAAACAGTTCAAGTGTACCCGTTACATGCATTCTTTGCAATCAAACACTATAATTCACATGCCTACGTGACTACAAAGAGTAACGTTAATGATATTTCATGCAAGACTGTCATGTTGTAATTACGTTTATTTCATTAACAACCCGTTGCGTTGTTCAGCGGACTGTCGGTGATTTGTGGCTGTTAAATGTGCAGCTGCTCATGTCCAAAACCACACGTGTTGATATAACCGCACGCACGCGCACACGCTGCTGTCATTACCGTCTGTCCTGCATCTCTCTCTCTGTCTGTCTCTCTCTGTCTCATTGTGTCATACGGCTTTGATCAGAGAATATAATGAGACTTCGGATGTATCCACAGTAATGCCAGACGCTGGCTGGAGCAGAGCCAGCGGTGCCACCGTCATCAGGAATGGACGTCGCTTCATGTGACGCTTCAGTGGAGAGGACGTCTCATGTCTCTTAACCGACAATGCTCGCTCATCGCTCCGAGCGCTAGCTCCGCGCATTTTTTCCTATGTGGGAGGAGCTAGACAGCTAGCAAAGTCGGCTAGGTAAGATAACTAGCAGTAATTTAAGAGACTTGGGATGGACCCATAGTCACTGCTTGTGAGCAATGCATCCTGGTACATGTAGGCACCGCTGGCATGGCTTTGCCAGCAGGAGAACTCACATGACTACATTTACCATCAACACTGACTGGACATCCACATTAAAGGTGGCAAGCACTTTCACGTTGTGTCTGAACCCAGTCATGAGTCAGAGTATCCCCGCAAAATACACACACATAAGCACACACTTTCCGACAACCCCCGACTTCTGAAATGAATCCGGTGCCTGTGATGCAAATTAAAGTCAGGCACAGACTACAGGAGTTTAAAAACTAATTTTGATATCGGGTTGCATCGTTCATTCACAAATGTTCGTCTCTATGACAACACACTGTAACAACACACTGTAATGTTAACAATGCTTTCAGGTGAGAAAAACAAAAGCAGAAGACCAAAATAGTCTGCATGAGAAAAACATCTATAAAAAGTCTACTCTTCAGAGAAAACTGGAGGTAAAACTTTAACCGTCAGTTTAAATATCTGTCAACAGTAGTGTGCTCGCTAAAGTTAGCCTCAAGAGCTAGAGTGTTTACCCTTGCTTGGCAACATCGTCAGCTGCTCCATACTGATGTAATCATAAAAGTTATTATACAGATTTATAATTATCGGGGCAGCTCGATGAGTCTGTGAGCAGCTTGGGAGGTTTAAGTCTGGATCTGTTAAACTGTGACAGAAAAAAAGTGAAAAAAATAGAATTACTACCCCACGGTTTTATGCCTCTGTGCACCAGTTAAGTTTCTCTTACAGTTTACATCCATGTTTGAGAAAACATAGATGTTTCACACACAGAAGAACTATACAGTCAGCACAGTTTCAAGGTGGGTACGCAAAATTAGAGTCACCACTTCAGTATCTGACCAAATGTTTCATTACTATTATTATTTTATCCTATTTGACATTTGTGTTAAGTTTTGTCATAATTAGCATATAAATCCTTGACTTATGGCTAAAAACATATTTTGTGAGGTCACAGTGACCTTGACCTTTAACGACAAAATTCTAATCAGTTTATTCTTCATTCCAAGTGAACATTTGCGCCAGATTTGAAGAAATTCTCTCAAAGTATTCTTGTGATATCACACTGACAAGAATGAGACAGATGAGGTCACACTGATCTTGAACCCTGACCTATGACCACCAAAATCTAATCAGATCATTGTTGAGTCTACGTGAACCTTTGTGCCTAATTTGAAGAAATTCCTACAAGCAGTTCTTGAAATATCGTGTTCCAGAATGAGGTGGATGTAAGGTCATGCAGACATCAACCTTTGACCCCTGACCACCAAAATCTAATCAGATGATTGTTGAGTCTCAGTGGACCTCTGTACCAAATATGAAGAAATTCCCCGTAGGTGTCCTTGAGATACTATATTCACAAGAATGAGACAGATATGGTTACAGTGACCTTGATGTTTGACCTACGACCACCAAAAACTAATCAGTAAATCATTCAGTCCAAAGGGACATTTGTGCCAAATTTGAAGAAACTCCCTTGAGGTGTTCTTAAGAAATCGCTTAACATGGGTGGGACAGACGGACAACCCGAAAACATAATGCCTCTGGCCACGGCTATCACCGGTGCTGGGTGTTTCCTTTTTCAGTTCAAGTTTTGTTTTCAATGCCAAAACTTAATGTCACTGTTCAAACTCCATACCTTTCCTGCTCTTCCCAACAGGACCACCTGCATCATATGGATTTCCTGGACCACCTGGACCTCCTGGACCACCTGGACCTGCTGCATTCTGTGGACGAGGTTTAATATTTTCTATATTTCAAAGAGCATAGACACTTTTAATTGTATCAAATCATTTTCATCAACTGAGTAATTGCTGTTTGTCATTTAATAAAATGTAAGATGCAGCAGTTGTACAACCTGAGCAAGGTTCAGTCTTCATTGATACACAAAGAAATCTCAATACACACAGACTCACTCATTGTTTAGGAGATGTCAATAGATACACTAGGGGTGGACACATACACCGCGTCCAAGTTCACTATAATACTAACTCTTTTTTTTTTAAAGGTATTTATTTTTGTTGAGGCTATGTCTGAGTGATATTTTTTCAACTCTTTTAAGCTCTGAGCCCATAATTTCTAAGTCTTACACACAATGCAATTTAAAAGGGTCAATTTCACTCAGCAGGATCAGTGTACTCATCAAGGTAAGAGCAACATAATCTGTGACAACTGTTTCATGTCTGAGAAAGTAACTGGTAATGTAATCAGGATAATCTAGGCTTGAGATTTCAGATGTTTACCAGAAAGCTTGTGTTACAAACTGGGCATGAAATTGGAAAGATGTGGGTGATGTCCATGCACAGAGAGTCTAATGAAAGATGCCACTGAGTTGTCCAGTATTTTTGGAGTTTAACCTGTACTGGCACTAAAACTTGTGGTCTCATAGACTGTAGCAACACCTTGCCGACAGCCTGTTAGTCGAGTGGCCCTGTCCTAAAATATGCATAACTTCCAAACCGTTTTTTGTACCAGGCTGTTAACATGTTTATTACTGCTGTACAGTTGAGCATTTTAACACGCGAGTGTGTGGGGATTTACCCTGCTTTGGAATCAGCCTCAAGTGGCCAGTCAAGGAACTGCAGATTTTGGCACATCTGCATTGGCTTTATTTTTAAGCCTTGGATGTTGCCACTTGGTTTTAACTAATGCTTACTTTTATTGATGAATAATTTGTCTATGTTGTTTTTTTGTAATTTTGTTACTTTAATCAATTAATAATTCAAACTACATTTAGTCTGAGACACTTTGGTCTCAGTGCATACATGTGAGAAAAGAGTGAAAATTGAGCCAATTCTGGTTTACTCAACATTCAGCATATTCAGAGAAGGAAAAAAAAGACAAATTAACTTGTGCAAGAAGTGAAGATGAAACTTTTCATTTGTAGGAGGAGCACATCTGACAGTGTGGACTCAGATCCAACTTACTACCCGTTTGGTAACTGAACTTAATCTGTTTCATCCAGATATCTTTGGCCCTATTATGGAGGACCTTGAAACCTTAAAGAAGAGCCTTGCGAAGGTCAAGCTGAGTAAGTATCCTATTCAATCATTACAAGGGAGTGTTACAAGGAATGAGAAAATGTGGAAAGAGATTAGTTATAGTTGTTCAAGAGACACTGCTGTGTTTGATTTCTTGTTGAAATAAGTTGTGTTCATGCTAATGTTGTGCTTAACTATTGCCTCAGTATATTTATTTTAAATGTATCTTTTATTCAGGGAGAATGTTGTCTGAGAAAGGAGCAATGAGAAATATTTTTAGTGAAATGCTGCAATATTTCCTCAGTCTTAATGTATTTACATACAAACTGCATCATTATTGTGGAGGGGGGAAAACTGCAGATATTTCAACATGTTTTTCTTTAGAACATCAAAGCCAGAAAAAAAGAGTTTTTCACCTGTGTATGAGGCTAAAAGAGAGTCTGATATTTTAATGTCAGAGGAACAAACATGTAAAATAAATGTGTTATGCAAAGACATCTGAGCAGAGCTCAAGGGCCAACATGACAACACAGTTTTGAGTGTAGAAAGTGTGTCATCACTGCTTCATTTATTCCTGATGTGTTGCATGTTGTTCTCTTTATTTTCAGCTATAAACTACGACTTTGTCCGCAGCGTTGGTCAGAAATACTTTGTGTCCAACAAGGAGATTGGCTCGTTCTCCAGGGCCGTTGACTTCTGCTCCCAACGAGGCTTAGAGCTGGCTTTACCCCAGAACGAGGAGGAGAACAACATACTGACTCAAGTGTTTGTGGAAAGTAACGAGAACGCCTGGATCAACGTCAACAATAAAGAAGTGGGGAATTTTGAGGCTGATATGAAAAACCAACATCTGGCCTTTACCAAATGGGGAGAGGGGCAGCCAGACAAGTCCATCCAGGATACAGGCTGCACTATGCTGTCAGAAAACGGTATCTGGAAAGTGACACCTGAATGCTCTCTGAATGCTTACATCATTTGTCAGATATAGAAAGTTCTTGTATACAAGATGAGAAACAATTGCTCCTACAAATAACTTTCACATGTTGAATTTCCCCAAATCGATTATCTCAGATCCTTGTCACTACTACAGACATGTATAATTGCATCATCAGCATTGCATTATTAGTGCTGCAAAGATGTATTCCTATATATAAAGGAGTTAAAGCAACAATATGATATATGTATAGAAACAATGGTGAATTCTGAAGGCATTCAGTGTGTCACAATAAAGTGTACGGCAATGAAACAGTCTCATTTCATTCATTTCAAGACTCCTGGCAAATTATTTCCATTTTAACAAGATTGGTAACATGACAATCTGGACATTAAGTATAACTAAAGCAGCTGGCATCTAAGAAGTACTAAAAGTAGAGTCAATGACAGATCAATTAGGAAAGATCTTATAGATGACACATAGAACTCTGGATTGTTCCGAGTATAAGGGTACATTTTGTTTCAGAGCTGAGAACACTACAATAGAACAAAGCTCATTCAGGAATAAAAAAAAAAGGAAACAAGCATTCTCTGGGACAACAAAGGCTCCCATTCACTGTCTACAGAGCAGCTCCAGACTTTATACCCTATGACATCACAAGTTTGAGACTCACTTCTCTGGTTTCTGGCTTTAAGAGACAGCAGCTCATATTCACAAATATTGATTGAATTTTCCTTGGCTACAGAGATAATATATTAAAAATCTTAATTCAAGTGGTGTTCCCCTTTAATATGATACATCTGTGACCAGTACCAGCACAAAGATGGTTATATTCAGTAGATCCTTTTTTTAATTTGAACTAAAAATGCCTCATTATCATTCACTGCTTTATTTTTGTTTTTGGTTTTAGCTCTTCCCATCTTAAAATCTCAGTAGGCCCTCTGTATATCAGAACTCAGATGGATTACAAAACTAAAACTAAACTCTGAAAACATCATCATCTGCAGTGGGCTGAAATAATGAATTCTTTCAATCTACAATCACAGAATTAAGTGAGATATTTCCAGCATTGATGATTTAACAATCATAAGTAAAAGGTGGGAGTCACAGAGTCACTCACAATACGATGTTTACAATTATTTAACAATACCTCCCACAATAGTGAAAGTATAACGACACAGCAATTCTGCAATACTTGATACATTGCAAGACAATCATCTACAAGACATTACCACATCTGTGTTACTAAAGGCAAAATACTCCTAAAAAGGCAACATTAGAAAGTATGTTGTTATTCACTACATTGTGCTCTTTATCACACTTCAACATGCTTTAACACGCTTTAACAAACACACACAATTATGAGTGTTAGTGCCTTCCTCCATGACATCTTCTTTTTCATTACTGCATAATTGCTTTCCTCTGGCTTTTAAAAGGAATAGGAGATGACGCTGGTTAGCTGAGTTCATGCTATGTCCAAAATACACCAATGATTGACTGAGGGACTTAATACGACCCCTTTGTCCCTTACGTCTTAGGGTGCTTTTACACCTGCCCTGTCTGGTTCGGTTCAATCGAACTCAACTTCGTTTGCCCCCTAAGTGCAGTTCATTTGGGCAGGTGTGAACACAGCAATCACACTCACTTCTTGAAGAGGCGGTCTCAGTCTGGTTACAAACGAACTTTGTGGTGAGAAAGTGCTCCGACCTGTATCTGAACCAACTGCAGTCACATGACACATTTTTTGGGTTAAACATGAGCATGTTACAGTTCTGGAGGATTATTAATGTGCACCTCCTCCTGTACTGCCTTAATATGCACATTCAGCACATCCAATGCATCAAAACATTGTTTTCTAGTTGGAGCCGTGCCCCGTTTTCAAACTGTATGGTTTGACTAAAATGAACAATGACAGCAATGTAGTCCACGATGAGCAGCGCTAAAATCAACCTGCGTAGTTGTCCCTCCATTGTGACATTAGAAAAGTGTCACATTTATCTTGCAAGTGTACTCTTCTTCAACGTTTTGATTACTTCCTGGACTTTTCCTGCATGGAAATTCTGACCAATCAAGAGCAGCTTTCTCTCGCAAGGCATTTGATCTGGTCCACTTGTAAATGCTGCCGTGAGAACACAAACCAACTCTAGGAAATTATACAACTTTGTAACAAAATGAGTCCCTGATTCAGACCAAAGCAAGACAACTCGAGGTCTAAAAGCATGTTTACTTTGCACCCAGATTTGTGCCATTTCACTAGAAAAGTGGAGTTGGACTTGCCCTAAATGCACTTGCACCCTGCACTTCAGAACATGCACTCTAAATCACTTAAATAGGGCCCACTGACTCAGTAGCAGGGTGGAGAAAGTTTGCGATAGTTCTGATTCAAAAAGGTGGTTGGAAAAAGGTCTTGAGCTCATTTTTTCAGGCAGTGGTTTAGGAGGGAATTTCTTAAATGGTGTCATTATGTGTATGCTTCAAGCTGTTAGGTGTGAGAGTGAGAGCTGTTTTACTGACCCAGCTCCATGAATCACGTGTCTTCAGAGAACATTATGTCTGCTGCATTTGTAAAACTGATGTCTACGTCTCTGTGTTACTTTATTTTTCAATGCATCTTAATTATTCAAGGTATAACTGATGATTTTTATGAAATTCTGTGATCTCACATTAAATATGCCAGTTATTTGGGACACTTTTCCTGAGCCACACAAATGTCCTAGCCTTGTGCAGTCAGCCCCATGTCCACAGCACACATTATCATTTGGCTTTAGGGGATAAATACTCTGACTTGTTTAGATTTCTTTAAACCAACCACAATTGTCTAGTGAGGCACAAAGTCCACAATGGTGCCTCTGCAAAACACTGCCTGAGGGGAAATTGTTTAGGTGGAACATTTGCACATGAGGAGGTGAGCACTATCATTAAAAAGAAAATGCAACAGAAAAAAAAAAGGAACAGATGAATGTGGACTGTGACATTCAACTTCTACTGATAAAGAAAGACACATAATTTGATAACAAAGCAGACATGCCTTATAGCATGTTCCAAATCAACATCACAACTGGCCATTTTCAGTGTCTACATTGTTAGTTCAGAGGTTGTAATTGTTGTTTCCTGTAGCTAAGAACATTTGTCAAAACAGTAACAGATAGCAGAAGGAAGGGAGAAAGTCAGCCTAAATATCCTGCAAATGGCAGGTAAAGGCCATAGTCATAGTCCACATCCAGTGAGTCAGACTACTCCTGTGCTAACTCCAGATCTGTGTTTCAAACATGAGGCAGCAGATATTGCTGAAGTTGTAATAAACATCACAGCCCTCTACACTGAAGTGGTGTTTCCACTGGCAACACTCTGCTGCAACAGGATAAAAACAAAACAAAACAAAAAAAAAAAAAAAAACTAAAAAAAGGACAAACAAAAAAAAAAAACTGTGGCCACTAGATGTAACTTCAATTCTGTGAGTATGAGGACTGCATGGAGAGGAAGAAGATAAGAGAGTGCACTTGGAGGCGGTTGAGAGACATGACACCCTGATCTGATTATCATAGTTAATCATCTCTCTCTCTCTCTCTCTCTCTCTCTCTCAACATCCGTTATAAACTCTGGACCGAATTTCTACATACACTCTTCACTACTTTCTTTATCACTTTTCTTTAAAAGTAGTGAAGAAGTAGCTCATCCTGCACATCACTCCTCGTTCACACAGTGAGTTCCTTTGCTATTAAATTCATGACAATTCACAGCCTGAAAGTCATTTCTCTGTACGAGTTAGAAACCACAACATGTGGTCTCAAAAATAAAAAATGAAAGCTTGTTCAGTTAAGTCTTATTAAAAGCTATAAACAGGTTAGATATGAACACATCTCTGTATCTACACTAGGGTTTAGATCGGGCCCAAAAAATCCAGCCCAACCCGGCCCGAGCACGTTATGTCGGGGACCGGCCCGGCCCGTCCAATTAACTGTAATTATGGGCCTGAGCCCGATTTAAACCAGACATTTTTCAATAAGTTGGCTGTTATAATTAAGAGTATTAAACCACAATTCTTGTTATTTTAATGACAGAAATATAAGATCTTGATGAATGGCGCAACACAGAAGCATGATTATGTAATAAAACAGGTGTTTTTTTTAGGATCCCAAGGTCAAACGGAAAAAAAATGAACAGTGAACTATAACATACAAGATGAACAAAAACTAACTTTGTGCAGCCTCAGTCAGGCTGTGCGCGCACAATGTTGCACCATTGTAACTAACTTTGTTGTAACTTTATGTGTCATATTAATTTTACTTTTTATAATACATAGCCTATATGCCTGCTGGGCTCGGGCAGAGAATCTAAGCTCTAATCTACAGTAAGAAGGTCAAAAGACAGCCAAATAATGTTATATCATAATTAATATTTCGCTGGGTCCTGGGTCATTTTTAAATTCTTAGAATACTGCTTTGTGCAAAAATGGTAGTGGACAAGTGACAGCAAAACTTGTTCACATTTCCATCTTTTAGCCCAGGGTTCCTGCATCTCAAGACAAGTTAGATTTAAAACTTTATGACTTTTTTAATGCCACTCAGTATGAAATTTCAGGCCAATTTTACAATAACCAAAATTGAAAGGAAAAAACAAAACAAAAAGTATGATCAAAAAACTAATTTGTCCAAATATTTATTGTTAGATATAACATTACTTTTTGGTCAAGTTGAAATGGTAGATGATCAACTTCAAACACTGAAAAACAAAATCATTATTTTCAGTGCAACACATGGAAAACTATGAACATATTGTCAAAAAGATAGTATTTGGTTTGCCTTAAACAAAAAAATTTTGTTCATTTGTCCTTTGAATGGATGTGGTAAATGTATTTGCGTATTTCTTCCTCTATCCGGATCTGCCTGATATTAATACCAGAGGGCAACTGGTAAATTGTTTTAAAAAAAATTGATCTTGCCAAATTATTTTATATTTTAGAATGCAATGTTATTGAAAATAATTTGCGATATCCTACTTTTCATGTCATAAGATTTTAAAGACTTCTGAAAGATGAATTTAAGACATTTTAATACTAATTAAGGTCTTATTCTTAGACTAATGATTCCATTGACTTTTAAGACTTTTGAAGGATCCATAGGAACCCAGCTTTAACGACAGTCTGACCTCCCAAGCTTTAACTCTGCCTCTTTTTTTCTTTTTATTTCAGAGCTGAATCGCTGAAGGTATTGTAATTTCTTTTTATCCCTGACTTCCCCCCACCGGCTTCTACAAGACAAATTAGTTGCACTTAAAAGTCCTTTCCTTGTGATTAAGGC